AATTCTGGGAGTTGAAGTCCACCCATCTTAAAGTTGCTGAGGTTGAGGAACCCTGTGCTAAATGACATTTCTTAAGAGAAGAAATAACTAAACTGGCCAGGTTTGCAGTTTTCTTACGTCACAATTGCTTTCTATGGGGGGAAAACCACAAAGAAATGGAAAACTAGGCTAAGTTTACTTCTGATGTAGTACTTCTAATAGAACTCGGATGTGCAACAAGCAAGAGCTTGAGGGGGTACAGTATTTTGTTTTTTGTACTTTTTCTTTTTTCTCATTTCAGAGTAACTGTAAAATATAATTAATGGAATTGACGATAACCTTATGAAAGAATTTTTTAAAAATGTGATTTGATCATGGATATTATAAACCTAAGTCTAGTAACAGAGTTGAACATAGTGAAATCTGGGTCATCTCCAGGAATACAGCAAGCCGTTCTTTTTACCTGGTTTTCTTCTACATATGTACTCTTGAAATTGGTTTTCAAGTTTTGTTTTGCATATGAATATGTGTGAAGTCCCAGATTTTAGGTTTATGGCAAGGACGAGCTATCTAATTTTAAAAAATGAGATTCTGAAATATGTAAAATTTGTTACAGCTTGTAAAACTGTTTTCTTTTTTTAAAAAAATATCACTTTATTCATCTCTGTGTTTAATATTCAGGGCCATAAGTTCACATCTGCAGACCTGCGGTTGCTCAGTTGTTATAGGAAGCAGTGCAGAAAAAGTTAATAAGGTATGTGTTCCCAATATACTGATGGGAAACATTTCCCAGGTAAGATGTTTTAATTAAAATCATAGAAGTAATAATTTCTTTTTTTGTTTACAGAAACATTGAAATCTTTGGCAGAAGCTAGGGATGAAGGAGAAATCTATTTAGTTCAATTTTTAGTGTGGATTTATCCAATTTGCACATGGAAATATAAAGTTTCCAGATTTTGTCTTGAGTTTGAAATTCAAGAAATTTATATAATGTGGTTCTGAACAGAAAAGTCATGCACAAGATTTGTATAACAGTACTAGTTATATATTTGATTTACATCCTGCCTTTCATTCAAGAAATCAAGGCGGCAAATATTTTCCCCAGAACAACCACCTTTTAAGGGTTGATTTACAGAATGAACATGGTTTAGCCCTCTTAGTATATTATGGAGAATCTTCTAGGAAATCCAGATTGTAAAGTAGATTGGCAGGTTGAAAAAGGAAAGGGGGAAAAAAACCCTTGAAGAAAGCCACGGCAAATCACTTCTGTAACTCTACCACATAGACCAGGAGTCAAAAGTAATGGTACAAAATGACAAATAAGAATTGTCCATTCACTATACAATAGAACTGTCAATCTATAAAGTTTGTCTATAGTATTACAGTTTGTTTGTTTGTTTACAGATAGTACGGACACTGTGCCTCTTTCTCACTTCAGCAGAGCGAAAATGTTCTCGCCTTTGTAGAAACGAAACTTCTTTTAAGTATGAGTCAGGTCTTTTTGTGCAAGGGCTGCTGAAGGTAAGATATTTTCTTTCCTCATGCATACAGGTAGATTCGATTAGTGCTGATAGTGAATCCCACGAAATGGTTGCATTATTCAAATTTGCACTATTCGAAGTGATGTTTCTATGGAAAATAGGGTAATTGTTTCCTGCTCAATGGAAACAGGCAATGAAAAGTTTTAAACATAAATTTTATATGTTTATTAATGAAATATAACGCTAAAAGATTAAAAGAATATACTTACAGCTTAAATTTATTTTTAACAAAGTCACAGAGTAGTTATAGAAAGCCAAATAAAAGCAAAAAAATTCTAAATGACATTCCTAAAAGTAAGCTTACCACGACAAAAACATCTTTATTGTCTTTCAAAATATTTTACCAGCATAGACTGAGCTGTTTTCTCTTTCTTTAAATCTTCATTATAACCTGCCATGAGATCTTCTAGATAGAACTCATAAATATTTAAAATAAATAAATCGAGTGAACAAAGGACAAACTGGAGGATAAACCCATATCCAAAGTGTACCTGCTATCTCCTGTATTCTGCTGTAGTTCTTCAAAATGAGCCTCTTTTTTTTTTTGAGCTTTCCTCAAACAGAACCTTCCTTTTCTCCATTTTGCACACACGATGATTAGTGTCTTAAAACCCCAAGAGCAACTGCGCTTGTGCCAGCCTCAACCACATGTACACTAGCCTCACATTACTTGAATTTTGGCTTGCATTAAATGCAACCTGGTATCAATTTATAATCCACTCCAAATTGAATATCGCACTATTCAAACTCACATTAACTGCAACCTACCTGTATTGTTAAAAACCACTCGATTAGAAATCCCCTTTTCTAATCAAAACGATTTTTCTGTAAGTAAACAGTTGTAATATTTTCTAGATGCTCTCTTCCATTTTGCATTTTCCTTTTAAAAAGGAGATTTCTAGTTAAGGTATTTCAACTTAGTAGGGGCTTTCTAAAGTCAAGACAATGTAGATTTCAATGTCATAAATTATAACTTATCTGATCAGTAAAACCTGCTACTTTCTTAGTTTAATGTACTTTACAGTTTGTTTGACTATGAGGAAAAAAAAATTTGGTACCTTTATCTTTCTTCCTCATATGCAGAACACTTTAGAGCATTCTGGAAGTTAGAATGGTGTTGACACAATTGTTTCTATTTTAAATTTTTTTAATTACACTATTACCTTGACCTTGCCAAGAACAAAGCTTAACTTCATTTGCTTTAGGTTCTGACCTCTTAACCTTCATTTCTAAAAGTTGGAAAATTAAAAATAAAAGGAATAAACCAGGTAACTGAATGAACAAAATGTAAAACTACCACTCGGTTTCTGTCTTTGACTGATGTAAGAAGGGCTAGTTGTGTCTTTGCCTCAGGGAACTGTGTAATGCCTGTAACTGAAGAACTGTCCAGCCTTGTTGAGGTGCAGATAAAACTGGGAGTCACAAAGCAATTCATAATGTCTACCTCACATCTGAGAGTCATGATCTGAAATTAAATGTATGTATTTGGAAAGAAGTCCCAGTGTTTTCATTGGGACCTACAGGGTTTTCTATAAAGCCCCTTTCACTTTGGCATATATTGTGTGAATGAAGAACTTTCAGTCACTTACTCATGACTATGGGTAGCTAAGATTTGTGAGGGACCATCAGTTTCTACACTAATTTAATAACCGGGAAGCTCAGTTGATTCAGCCCTTCTATATTTAATACTGCAATGTTTACTCAGAAGATACGTGTTTTGGGTTCACTAATGTGCAGGGAAACCGCAACTTGAAATCCAAGTACTAGCAATCAAATCCCATTGAACTGAAATAAGTTTCACTTCTGAGTAATAATGCATACAATTAAACAGTAAGATCTTGAATATTCTCAGGGTACAACCCCAACTTGGAAGGATAGCCTTACTTTTATTAAAGCAAACAGTCACATTCATTTGTATGTTATGTTCAAAATGATACGTTGCATTTTTTAATTTTTGAAACTTCATTGTGGCAGGATGTGACTGGAAGCTTTGTGTTGCCTTTCCGTCAAGTGATGTATGCCCCATACCCTACCACGCACATAGATGTAGATGTCAACACAGTGAAACAGATGCCTCCGTGCCACGAACATATTTATAATCAACGACGGTACATGAGATCTGAACTAACAGCATTTTGGAGAGCTACTTTGGATGAAGAAATGCCTCAAGATACCATTATCCATACAGATGAAAGCTTTACTCCTGACTTGTATGTATTCTTGTGGCGTTTACAAAACAGTTACTCTGTACCATCCTTTGTGAGTAAATATAGCAGGCATTTGAATATAGATCTGCATTTTTATGTTGGTAGTCACCATGATTCAAATGTAGTATCTGTATCCTTTTTGCCTATCTATTTACCTTCAGGTTCTCTGTCACCAAATTATCATTGTTGTTTGCCAGATCATGAAAGTAATTGTTGAAAGCTAGAATTTTTTTCACTCTTTTTTTCACTCTTTTTCACATTTTTTCACAAGTTATTAGTTTGGAAAAGACTCTATGTTTCACTATTCAGTCAAACATAGGGTCTTTTCTAAATGAATATCTTGCCTATGCCTATGTATACCTGAACCTGGGTCACCTGCTTATCACAACATCCCTAGATGAAGAATTTAAATAATCACAGGAGCCAACAGTACCTAAGAAATATGGCTTTTGAGGCACCACTGCTGCACCTCAGATTACCTTGCACAGGACCCATGCACATCAGTCCGCCCCCAGTCCTTCAGTGGTTCATAACTTCCTTTCCTAGCATTTCTGTATAATCATCAAAGGCACCATGGAACTTTCTTCATCGATACCATTATATACACTTCCATCAACTAGGAGAATATAAGCATTGTCAACTGATTTAATCAGAAGTCATCTCTGTGTGCACTGCTTTGAGATACATGCACTGGAAATATAAAAATACTAAAAATTCAAAATGTCACTAAGGGTTGTTTTTGTTTAGGGGATTGGTTTTTGGTGTTTTTTGTTTTGGGCCTGCCACAGTTAGTTTGGAATATAGGTCCGTGCTCTGCCCAAACTCTTCTCACTGTTCTGAGGGAATGTGGCATAAATTAAATGTGCCTAGAGCTCTACAAATCTGCTTGAGGAGGATTCTCTGTTCATCGTTCACTTGACACCCTTATGAAAGAAAGTCTTTAGTATCACCTTAGCATAAAGCCATTACTTAAATAATATATGACATACAAAGATTTGGTCCCATTCAATTTATGCAGTAACTATTATGACTGCATTTCTGCCATTGTTAGAGAATAAAAATAACAGAAACAAATGGAATAATCCTCTTCTATTACCTGCCCATCTTTGCTCTGATTAAGTGCCATGAAGCCATTGTCATCTCTTAGATGTCCCCAGCACAGCCTTTCACGTCTCCCAGTGGTGCACCGACTGCCACTCTAATCGAGTCCATCCCCCTTGCTGCTGGTTTTCCTCTTTTTTTCCTTCCACGTGTCCCAGCATTATAGACTTCTCAAGGGAGCTGGATCTTCAGATAATGTATCCAAAATACAATAGTTTGAGGTTGGTCATTTGTGCCTCAAGTGAGAACTCTAGGTTGATTTGTTTCTGATCCATTTGTTTGTTTTCTGGGCTGTCCATGGTATTCTTAGGAGCCTTCTCCAACATCATAGTTCAAAAGTGTCAATACTCTTTCTATCCTGCTTCTTCAAAGTCCAGCTTTTGTTTGCACAGAGTGTCATGTGGAAAAGCACTGCTTGCACGATTCTGATCTTTGGAGGTCTAGAAACACCCCAGCATCTGAGTATCTTTTCCAAGGCTTTCATTGCTCCTCTACCAAGTGCTAGTCTGTAGCATGTTTCTTGACTGCTGGTTCCTTGACTGCTGTTGATACTTGATCATGAAAGGCAGACATTATCTATCACTTCAATATCTTCATTTCAGTTCTAAGACTGGTTGCTGTACCTGTTATCATTAGTTTGGTCTTTATGTTTAATCTCAGTCCTGTTTTTCCACTATGCTTCTTGACTTTCATTATCAGAGCTTGCTGTTCATTTGCATTTTCAGCTATCCCAGTAGTGTCATCAGCACAGCGCAAGCTATTTATGTTTCTTTCCTCAATTTTAAAACCATGCTCACCTGGTTTCTCAATTATCCACCATGCATTACCAATAATATCTCTTCTTTCCTGGCCGTTTCTAAGACCAGAATGAGCATCTCCCTTTCCATGTAAGGCTCTAATCTGCTTTGGATAATCCTAAACACTATTTTGCTAGCTTGTGAGATTAAGGATATGGTGTGATAATTTGCACAATTTGCTAAATCTCCTGTTTTTGGTATTGGTATGTAGATTGATCTCTTCCAATATATGGTCACGAGGTATGTTTTTCCATGTCTGTTTCCTTCAGTTCTCTGAAATTTTTGTTAAGCTCCTTCCCGAGATCTTTGGCTTCTCTGCTCTTCTTGGCAATTTCCTCGGTGTTCTGACATCCAGCTTTCTTTCTTTTTTTCTTCATTTTTGGCCATTTCTTTTCACATTCATCCTTAACAACATTTCTGATTTCATCCCACAGTTCCTCTGGTTCCCAATCAAAGTGATTCCAGTATCCAGTTCCAATCCATTTCAGTTATTGATGCCTAAGACATCAATGTGTAGTCAACCCATTGCATCTTACATTGTGTTGAGCTTTCCCACGTTCATGCTTGTTACATTTCATGTTTCCACTGTAGTTCTATCTGTGCAGCTTTGGTTTATTTTTTTTTTCCTGCATGGCAAGGTCAGCAACTAGACATCCAGAAACTTAATCTCCCTCATCATAAACACCATTAGAACTCCAAAAGATCCCGGGCTCTTCCTTAGTAATTTGTTGAATGCTGTCCAACCTGAGGGGGCCCATCATCTGGCAGTATATTTTCAGTCACTTTGGTAAAATGTGGAAGGGGTTTACCATTGCTTTCTCTTACACAGTATGAAAGATGGTTTTGCTGTGTCACTAAAGTGATCATCCACTTCCAGCATCTTCCAATATTGGTAGTGCTTGCTTGCTTTAGCTAGGATGACCCTCAGGCCTTGGGTGGCCCTTCTAGAAGTATATACTCCTGGCAACACTTCTGACATTCTTGCTCATCCCTCACAAGAACAATCCCCCTGCCACAATGAGACAGCAGAGCAGGACTTGGCAGGGCGGGTCTGATTTCTCTCTTCCTTTTCCATGTTAATAGCCCTGCTAGATCAGGGCAAGGCCCACTTTGGTTCAGTGTTTTGTTTCTCACAGTGATGCCTCTGAAGTGTTTGCAAGCAAGAAATGGAGAGTACTCCTCTTCCACCAATGTTCCTCTGGAATTGGAGACAACCTGCCCCCAATTTGGAGATAATATTTGATTCTTCAGACTAATATTCCTGATAGACCTGTCCTCTGTGAATTTATCTAAACCTTTTTTTAAAGCTTTCCAGATTAGTAGCCATCATTTTTTCTTGTAACAAGTTCCAACAGTTCATTCTATGCTACGTGAACAATGGTTTTCTTTGTCCTAAAGCTCCCTACAGTTAGCTTCATTGGATGAGCCCCGGTCTTAGTGTTTTGAGAGAGGGAGTAACCCTTGCCCACTTGCTCCATATTATGCATGATTTTTTAACCATTTTGATTATGTCTCCCCTCATTTCCCTTTTTTGCAGCCTAAAAGAGTCCCCAGGGATCTGGAGTTTTCTCTTTTTATGCTTTATTTTGTTCTTCTGTATTTCTGCAGGAATGTTTTCCAAGATGTTCAGCACCAAGATACTTTAGTAAAAGCTTTCTTGGATCAGGTAACTATGATTCAGTTAGTTAAAACTAATAAGTACATGGCATACTGTTTATTAAATATTCCTTTTGAGTAGTTTTCCATGAAAAGAATGATTATAGAAGATATGTAATGAATAATCATGTATTTAGGGTACATAAAGCAAGGTAGGGCAATTCTCCAGGTATTTGGGGATAAATTTTCATAATCCCTGAGCATTGGCCATGCTTGTTTTGGCTTATTGGAGGTGTAGTCCAAAATATTTTAAAAACAATAGATTGCCTACTCCAATCCTAAAATTAAATTAAGCATGATGGTGTTAGTTTAGTTTTGCACTGAGAAAATGAAGGGAAATTAAATTATGTCCATACAGAGGGTACCAAAGTGTGGCAGGCATAATTGGTTACAGAATTAATCACTTCTATTTATCACTTTAGATGTAACACATACTAGCTATCTAGTTTTTAGATGATATATCTTTTACTTCATAGTCTGTAATATTTTAGATTTACACTTGAACAAGTAATTAATGCACCATTATAGCAGTGTATGTCACATGTTTGTGTTTTATTTTATTTTTGTTATGCTAGTGTTTTATCTCATCTATTTGCTTTTACTTTGGTGGTGTATTTTTTTTTTTTATTTTTGCTGGTCCTTGACCAAATAAGCCATTATTATTATGGAATACACCTTGATTATTCCAGCCTTGTGCAATTTCATACCCTCCACATGCGTAGAAAATACTTCTTTTTATCCCCAGTCACTGTGACTCCCTGGCCTTTAAAATATCTTAAATAATTCAAGGTCAATAGTATAGTAGTCCCCAAAGCTCTAATTTCTGAAATTGAATAAGGAGCTCCTTCCTAAATGATATTCAACCCTTTTAAGTTTACTGTATAATGCATATACTGTATTTACTTATTAAATCTCAACATATACAGTACATTCGGAAAGTATTCAGACCCCCTTCAC